CTTGAAGATGACTGGCCGTCACCCCCCAGAATTCCCCGGCCAGCGAATGCTGGCTGGGGAATTCTGGGAGTTGAAGTCCAGACATCTTCAAGCTGCCAAGGTTGAGAAACACTGCTCTAGAGGGAAGCTGCCCCATAGGTTGATTGCTCTCACTGTCAAAAAGTTTCTCATTTCCAGGTTGAATCTCTCCTTGGTCAGTTTCCATCCATTCTTCCTTCTCTGGCCTTCGGGTGCCTTGGAGAATAGCTTGACTTCCCCTCCTCTCTGAGGCAGCCCCTCAAATATTGGAAGGTGCTCTCCTGTCTCCCCTGGTCCTTCTTTTCTCCAGAGCGGCCGAACCCAAATCCTCCGGCCGTTCTTCGTATATTTCAGTCTCCAGGCCTTTAATCGCATTCGTTGCTCTTCTCTGAACGTTTTCCAAAGACCAAAAGTGGGTGCAGAATTCCAGCTGTGGTCGGCAGAGTAAAACGCGCCAAGGGCCTCTTCCAATTAAGCGTTGTTAAGCCTCCAGCGGGCTGAGGGCCTCCGTGTTTTGAGACCATCCAGAAGGCCAACTGGGTCAGGCTCCCTTCAAGGGCTGGTGTGTGTGTGTTAATATTCCCAAGGAGGAAAGGCTGCGTCCGTTCTCCTTTCTGTAACTCTCTTTTCCAGTTTGGTAGAAAAGTCCAGTGACTTCCTTTCTTTCTGGCTTTTGCTGGGCTTTTGCACAGGAGGGGCTTCGCTCTGCCCCCCAAGATCTTTTTGGGGGGGCTTCTCAGGCCATTGAGGGAAGCCAATTTGCCCTCTTGTTAGTCTGGAGTTTCTGCTTCCACCCTGAGCCCTGGATACGCATCTGTCTCTGGAGTCCCTCCCCCCCGCAACTGTGGGCTCCACTCAGGACTTGAATGTGGGGAGGGTGGAATGGGGTCTCTGACGGAGGCCTCTCCCCTCCCCCACTCCCTGCAGGTGCTTGGCTACCCCCACGTGACCTATCGGGCGATCTGCAACCACCGTGGCGTTTACACCTCTCCCAAGTGCCACTCTGTGGATTTCAACAAAGAACTGGCCGGGCCCCTCCTGAAGGTCATCTCTGTGGCCTGGAACGAGGTCTTCAGGTAGGTTCCCCCCCCACAGCAGCCGCTGTCCCTCCTCTGAACCCTTTGGCCCATCAGAGTGGAGAAACTGGACAGGAGGCCAAAGGCTGCCTCTCTCCAACCATCGAGGGCATCACATCCTGTCCTGGAGCACCAGCTTGGTCACCCCCCATCCCCCAAATCTCTGCTTCCAGGCACTGCCCCTCGCTTGTTCCCCCTGGGAGGAGATAAGGAGGCCCCCAACAACCTGTGTGGCCAAAATAATTTTGATAATACTGCTCCCTGTCCTTTTAAAGCTACGAGACTCCTGGCCTTCCTCTTCCTTTTATGACATAAACCAATCGCAAAAGAGATAAGTGAAATCAAAACAGTTGTTAAATAACTCCAAATATTATATATATATAAAGTCTTGGTGTGTTAAAAATAAACATGCTTACTGCTCTTGGCAGACCACATGATAACAGAGTAGCAGATTGGAAGGGACCTTGGAGGTCTTCTAGTCGGACCCCTTTCTCAGGCAGGAGGCCCTGTAACATTT